CAGCAGGGAAGATGGCCCGCTGTCTCTCCGGGCCGAGTGGAGGAAGGGTTGACAGCTACGAGTCTGCTCATGATGGCTTTAGGGGCGTTTTTTGCAGCTGGGGCGGTAAATGTGATACAGACGGGGCACGGTTTTCATACGCCGAGTCCGGCTCTCTGCATCCTCTGTGTGGCAGCTACTCGGCAGGAAGTTGCCGGTCGTGGCCTTTCGTGGTGGCCGTTTGTGCTAATTTACTTTTTTAATGGAGCACTCGTCGTTATGGGTGATTCTCCGTAATGCCCCTTCTTGGGGGCGAGGAAGGAGATAATGGAATGATGGAGAGGTCCGGAGGCCAGCCGGGGTCTCCCAGAACACGTCTGGCTGCGGACTCTCCATCGGGTTCGGATTCGGTTTCCTTATGCAGTTTTTTGCGCATTTGGGCCTCCTGACTCCAAACCCTGCGAGTGTCGTCATCATAGCTTATTAATTTTATGTTTTGTTTGGCGTCTGTGCACCCAGTAGACAGCAATTATTTTTTGAATACATGAATTCTCCAAAGATTTATGTCCTTTTGAAAGAAAAACAAATCTCCTTGTCCCTGCTGTGTAATGAAAACGTCACTGGGATGGGGGAGGGGGATGGTAGGGGAGGGGACGCTGGCGGCGTGTGGCCGGGCAGGACTTGGCGCCTGGCCTGCCTGGTCCTGGGAAGTGGCTCGACGCCGTCGCACTCACGTGGAGCGTGGAGTCCATGGCGGGCGAACAGTGCGGGCAGCCCCTTCCCCTGGCGGGGTCTTGGTTTAGGTGTTTACGGGTCGGCTTGTTTGGAGGTCCTCGAATTTCTTCTTAGTCGATATGTCCTTGTTCTCACTCAGTTGAATGCGGTTGTATTCACTTCCGGTCTTGCAGAATTACAGGCCGTGGGAGAGCCCAGCGGATGCTTGGAACGGGGCTGCAGGGATCCCGCGGAGGACGTTCATCATCACTGGTGGGAGCTAAACTGACAGAGGGGGCAGGCGCGAGGCCACTCACCCAGACGCTGACGTGGATTTCATGTCTCCCGTGATCTGGGAGGTGACACTGCACAGTCGGTACTGCAGTGCCTCTGTCCTTGGTGAGCTGGTGACACATGATTGCATCCAAGATGCCCGGGGTGGCGGTCTGGGATACTAAAGGCATCCCTCTGCCAGTAAAGGCTCGAGAGGACAAACGCGGTAGGCTGGTTTGGCCACGTTCGGCACAGAGTCACGAGGAAGCAGGATGACTTTTCTGTAGACATCACTGGGGTGGTGCCGATTCAGAAAAGAAATGGAGTAGAGGTCATTGCTCTACTTAAGAGCATCCGTTAGGATCTTTTTAGTGGGGTCGTGGACTTCCCAGACCCTCTTCGTAATTCTGACGTAGGGCAGAATTCAATTTAATATGTCGATTTAAATGAACGCCATTAATTTTTAACATGGTCCATCCCCTTTACTCCTGGAGACCTCAGAGTAATCTCTTTTAGTCATTAGCATTTTATAATCATGAGCGAGAGTCCCTGTTGAGGTTACACACTGTCGCGTTACTTTCGTGGTTAAAAGCGCGGTCCCTGCCGCCAACCATCTGGATCCCAACCTTCGCTCTGTCATTTGCCAGCTCTGAACGCAGCGAAGGGCTTACTGTTTTCTGCCTCAGTTTCCTCTTTTGTATCATGGTGTTAATAACTGCTTCATGGACAGGTTTCGTCTGGCACACAGTAGGTGCTCATTAAATGTTAGTATCCAGACTGCCGTCTTCGAGAAAAGGAAAACAACGTATCTAGACGTTGACCTCCTTATTCGTTTTTCTATCCGTCTGTCTTCTCCTCTTCCTGTCCAGCATTTCTTGGCCTTTGCCGTATATGTACGTGGTCGCCGGGGACGGAAAGTTGAGGAGGACACAGCCCTGCCCTCGAGTCCCTCAGAGTCTGCGGGGCGGGCTGGAAGCGTGTGCCGAGTGCAGTTGGGGGCGCACAGGAAGCAGCCTCCACTGCTCAGGCCGCTGCTCTGGGCCGTTGTCACTTCTCTGTCACAGCACCCCTTTAAGGAATGTCATGGGGTGAGGGGGTTTCCTAGAGGAGGTGGCAGCTGCGTTGAGGCCAATAGGATGGGTAGGAATTGGCGAGTGAAGGCGGAAGAAGACGAGCCTTGCAGGGAAAACCTCACGAACAGAGAATAGAAACGGCCTCGGGGGCCTGCCGCACCCCTGGGAAACGCAGTGTTGCCAGACAGCAAGTGTCCAAAGAGGGGACCCTGGCACACTGCCTTCAGAAAGAGTGGAACGACAACTCGATGCCACGTCGTCCATCCGGACAGCCGTACATCACCCAGGGTCACGGCAGCAGCGTTCGCGGGAGCCAAAGGCGGGAGCCACGCCGGTGTCCATCAGCGGAGAAGCGGATCCACGAAAGGTGGTCTGTAGCTCCAGTGAGATGCATATGCCGCTCAGCCTTAAAAAGGAGGGAGATTCTGACACGTGCTACAACGCGGACGAACCCTGAGGACATTATGCTGAGCGAAACAAGCCAGACGCAAAAGACAAACACTGTACGACTGCGCTTATGTGAGGGGCCCGGAGCTCAGAGAGACGGAGCGGCGGGGTGCCAGGGGCTGCGGGAGGGGTGCCAGGGGCTGCGGGAGGGGGGCCGAGTTGTTGCTTGATGAGTAAAGCGTTTGGGAAGGTGAAAAAAGTTCCGGAGGTGGATGGTGATGGTGGATGGGAATGTACTTAATGCCACTGAACTGAACACTTACGAATGGTTAAAATGGTAAATTTTAGGTTATGTATATTTTAACATACACACAGATAGCAGTACAAACCGTGTCACATAATAGTGTTCCCGGGAAGAGAGAACCCCCGGACTGCCTGCTGCTCAGGCAGGTACCCTCGGTAATGGCTCACGAAGGGTAACCGTGATAACGGGTGCTGATGCGACCACCAGACACTTCTCAGCACGTTACGTGCAATGTCACATTTAATCCTCATAACCGCCCTGTGACTTGGGTAGGTTGCTGTCCCCACTCCGCAGGGGAGGAAGCTCAGCC